AAAGCATCAGATTTTAAATTCAAACATTAACCAGGCCTTTTTAGAAGTTTCATTCAATTAAATTGCTATCTTCAGAAAACAGTCATTCAAAAAAGATACCATGTTTCTTAGGGCACTGTTGCTTTTTATCTTTCAGAAAACAATAGGCCATGATTACTTCTAGAGGAAGTGTTAGTCAGGGAGAGTCGGGGAAGACCAACAGACCTATAGAAACAGTGGCCTCAGCTTTTAGAGGAACTTTATAATCAGTTGCCCAGAGAAAGTCTGGGTAACCTGAACATCCCGAAGCAAGTCTAACAGATTCCAAGGGGCAAGGGGCATGTCCTACAGTTAGAAGAAAACAGTTTTGTGTAAACACTGCACCTAGAACCAAGAAATTAGACAGCTGTGACTATCACAAAATTATCATTTCATTATTTTAGTCTTACAGATTTTGCTTTGAAAAGCTTTTCGGTATAATTTATGTACAGAGCCTTGAAGTAACATGTATCTTGCCGTAGATTCAAGTGCTGGCTCTTCCTGATTCCCATCAGATGAATAACTATTTCTATACCATTTGACTGAAAAATAGATGTATAATTAAACAGCTAAACTAAAGAACCATCAAATACATAGCCACTTTTTTAGTTAACTTTTAAATCTAACACAAGCTACATTGCAATTCCTATTCTTTTTTTTTTTTTTTTTTAAGAATTTATTTTTAAGTAATCTCCACACCCAGCATTGGGCTCAAACTCACAATGCTTAGATCAAGTCACTCACTCCACCGACTGAGCCAGTCAGGCACCGTTGTAATTCCTGCTCTTAGAATTTTAATTTTCTTTTCTCTATATTAGATTTTACTGCCTGATAAATACTATTGTCACTAGGAGTTTTAACATGTATTAGTGATGAGGACCAAAAAAAAAAAAAGGTACAAATCTAGTACCTGGAAACCTTGAATACCAAGGCACAAAGCCTCAGGGCAAAATTTGCTATATCCAGTCTTGCCAGCAGAGATGGACAAGTCCAAGTGCCAAAGTGGATAACTTTGTTTTTGTAAAGTTATTGTAACTTGGGTAGAATTTGCCTTGAAGTCTTAATCTTGCCATCTGAGTTCACAAATCCTAGCAGTGTACGTTGCTCATCACTTTGATACTGTCACAAGTGTGAGGAGTATAGGATGTTCAGTCTCTCCAACTTCTTCACAGTGAACTGTCAGCACATAGGCACAGGGGTTAGAGTCACAAAAGTTGTAAATACCAAGGGAAGTGCTTCAATGAATATCATAGGAAATAAGCCTAAAATAATGCAGCACCAATATCACTACAGGTATGCAGTCATCATGTGTTTTGCTTATAAATGAATAAATAACTTAGTTTGGGGATTAAATACTGTTTCTGATACTCCAGGTAGAAGCATTAAAACAGAAAAACACAAATACATTAGTGGCAAATGACACAGATGTTTTTGAAGATGTGAAGGACATCATTATTTCTAGTGGGATACTAATAATGCCTGTTACCCCTGTATAACTAATTGAAAATATAAATCATATTTACCTCAACTCACATTGCCTCTTCTGCCTCCCAGGATAATCTGTCATGTTTATGATGAGAGATTTTAGTAATTAAAAAAATTTTTTTGCTATTCAGTGATATCATTTTCTACAGTTTCTTTTTTAAAATTTTTTTTTTAAATGTTTTATTTATTTCTAGGAGAGAGAGACAGCGTGAACAGGGGAGGGTCAGAGAGGGAGTCACAGACTGAAACAGGCTCCAGGCTCTGAGCTGGCAGTCAGCACAGAGCCCGACGCGGGGCTCGAACCCACAAACCGCGAGATCATGACCTAAGCGAAAGTCGGACGCTTAACTGACTAAGCCACCCAGGTGCCCCATTAAAATATTTTTTAAACTTAAGCATTTTTTTAAATGTTTTATTTATTTCTGAGAGAGAGAGAAAGAGAGACAGCATGAGCAGGGGAGGGTCAGAGAGAGAGGGAGATACAGAATCTGAAACAGCTCCAAGCTCTGAGCTAGTTGTCAGCACGGAGCCTGACGCAGGGCTCGAACCCACAAACCGTGAGATCATGACCTGAGCCGAAGTCGGACGCTTAACCAACTGAGCCACCAAGGTGCCCCTACATTCTTTGATATACTACCACTTATGCTAGAGGTGCTTGCTTCTCTTACTTACTACCTATTATGAATTCCCTTTTTCAGTTTATTTTCAAGTAATTATTAGTCTGCTTTTTATTTTCCTTGTGCATTCGGTATTTAGTTAGCAGGTGCTTATTTTTTGTTTGTTTTTATTTAAGTAATCTCTATACCCAACATGAGACTTGAACTCACAACCCCAATATCAAGAGTCTTCAGATGCCCCCAGTTAGCAAATACTTATTGAGCATCCACATGCTGTTCCTCACAGAGCAAACCTTACTTTCTAGTCACAAGATCTGTTTCCAATAAGCCTTTCAGTGGTGCTTCATTATTGAAGACTCTTCTCTCATTTCTTACTCATTTATTCATACACAAACAGTAGAGAGTATCTGTATGTACCCAGGACACCATGACAATATCAGTGAGAAAATAGATATAAAATTATAGCACGGTTGTTAAAATAATACAGTGGTAGCATGAAATATGTACATTGAAAATAGAAAAGGCAGATCAACGGCTGTGTCTGGAGAAACAGGGAAAAGCATTCTGGAGAAGACAGTGTTCAAGCAGAATTAAAAATTAGGAGGCAAAGAAGACAGAAGGACTTTTGAGGCTGAGGAAAGAGCATTTGGAAAAAGATAAGGAATGACATGTTCAATGTGCTACTCTCTGTAAGAACTTCATTGTAGTTCAAGTATAAAAGACATGAAGTGCCATAAAAGGAGAAGAGTCTCTCAAATGGGCTAGAGCCAGATTGCGAAAGGTTTTGCTCACGACTGCCTTGGCATGCTGAAGAGTCAGTGAACACATCTTATTAACTTAAGGGCTTTAATGAGGAAGAGTGAAAAATGTTCCTGTAACTGTGTTTCATTTCCTGCTAATTGCTCATGAGTTTCACCAGGTGCTGCTTCATGACTTTAGCCGAATAGTTCTGCTTAGCATACAGGACTCGTTTGCCTTTAGACTATCATGTAATACTTAAACACTCTTCCAGTTATCACAGCTTTCTCGCAAACTGAATAATAATAGGCACAATTTGAAATTTGAAATTAGATTTCCTTTGGCTCTTACTAGAAAATTGTTGGGATTTAAAATGTAATATTCATTTCACACAACTAATCTCTTCATTTAGCTGAAGTCATAAGTATTTCTATTTATGATTACTTTTTTATTTAAAAGCATACAAATACTTTGAAAGTAAAATCATTAAATACTTTTATGTTGGTCATACAACAATACTTAGGTAACTTCTTCTTGCTATTTCTCTATTTTTTTAAATTTAAATGTCTACGAAGAGATTTTGCCACACATATAAATGCCAAAGCAGGGGAAAATGGTTTAAAATACTGTTAAACTAAATAAAGCCAATGAAGGTTAAACCAGTGGTTATTCTTATGGGAGAGGCCAAGTCAATACTTACCCCATTCTTGAGAAGAAAAATCTGAATGTGGAATGTTTGTGGTATTAAAATAAGCCTTTCTTTAAGTTCAGGAAACATATATTAAGTACTTACTATATGCCAAACTCTATTTTAGTCACTGGAAATACAAAAATGAGTAAAATGTCTTTGGCCTCAATGGACTTGTCTACCAAAGTGTTAAATTGAAACATATAAAATTGCTTTTTTTAAGGTCAAAAATGGTCAAATATCAGTTCAGCCTAACATACATGTGTAAACAGATTTGCCATGATAGAGATAGGAAAGAGGTACTACACGCACTCGGAAAGTGCTTCATGCTGCCTAGAGCACTCAGTGAGAGCTTCCCAAAGGAGATGGCATTTGAGCTGAGTTTTAGAAAATGATTGGGAGTTCACTGTGTGTTTACAGGAAGCAAAGAGAATGAGGGCATTCCAGAAATAGGAAACAGCATGTGCAGAGTTGTTGAAGCGAGAATGAGCCCTAGTGTATGTGGGAAATTGCACATAGTTCACGCTGGTTGGAATGCCAGATATGCTGGGGGTGATAGGAGACAAGGCAGGTGAAGTAAGCAGAGGGCAGATGGTGAAAGGTTGGGTGTTTTAAGCCAAAGAACTTGATTTTATCCTTGAAATCTGTGAGATATGTGTAATCCAGGGAGTGTGCAAGGCAATCTGTCAGTATTCAGAAAGAAAATATTACTACTTATATGCATATATTTTTAAAGCTTATTTATTTATTTTGAGAGAAACAGAGACAGTATGAGTGGGAGAGGGACAGAGAGAAAGGAAAAGAGAAGCCAAAGCAGGCTCCACCCTGCCAGTGCAGAGCCCAACATGGGACTCGAACTCATGAAACGGTGAGATCGTGACCTGAGCCAAAAGCAAGAGTTAGACACTCACCCAACTGAGCCACCCAGGTGCCCATACTTATATGTATATTTACCTTTGCCTTATCTTTTTCAAACTTCCAATTAAATAGGGATTATAGGGGGCACCTGGGTGGCTCAGTCGATTAAGCATCTGACTCTTGGTTTCAGATCAGGTAATGATCTCATGGTTCGTGAGTTCAAGCCCCACATTGGGCTTTGTGCTGACAGCATGGAGCCTTTTTGGGATTCTCTCTCTCTCCCTCTCTCTCTGCCCCTCCCTTGCTTTCTCTCTAAAAATAATAAATAAATAAACTTAAAAAATGGGCATTATAATGTGTATAATTCCTAATGTAGTACTGGATGTAAATAACTTATAAATAAATAAATATACACATATTATGGTGTGTTATAGGTTGAATGGTGTTCCCCCAAAATTCATGTTCAAGTTCTAACCCCTAGTATCTCAGAATATGACTTTATTTGGAATAGGGTCCTTGCAGATATAATTAGTTAAGATGAGATCACACCAGAGTAGTGTGGGCCTCTAATCTAACTGGTGTCCTTATAAAAATAGATCATGCCACGTGAAGATGAAGGCAGATGTTGGATTGATACTTCTTTAAGCCAAGGAACTCCAAGATGGCAGGCATATCATCAGAAGCTATGAGAAAGGCATGAAACAGATCTTTCCCTGACAGCCCTCAGAAGGTACAAATCATGCTGAAACCTTGATCTTGGATTCTAGCCTCCAAAACTGTGAGACAATTTTCTATTGTTTAAGCCGTCTAGTTTATGGTACTTTGTTATGGTAGCCTTCGAAACTAATACATGGTGCATAGTCAAAGAGTTTGGAGACCCTGGTTAGAAAATGAGAGCCATGGAAGAGTTTGAGTACAAACTATATCTGTCCTGTCTTTATTCATGCTCTTTAATAACTTATTTTGCGGTGCCTGGGTGACTCACTCAGTTAAGCATCCGACTTCGGCTCAGGTCATGATCTCACAGCTCATGAGTTTAGCCCCGTGTTGGACTCCATGCTGACAGCTCAGAGCCTGGAGCCTGTTTCAGATTCTGTGTCTCCGTCTCTCTCTGCCCCTCCCCCACTCAAGTTCTGTCTCTCTCTTTCAAAACTAAATAAACATTGGGGCACCTGGGTGGCTCAGTCGATTAAGCATCCGACTTTGGCTCAGGTCATGATCTCATGATTCGTGGGTTCGAGCCCCACATCAGGCTCTGTACTGAGTGTTTACTTAGAGCCTGGAGCCTGCTTCGCATTCTGTGTCTCCTTCTCTCTCTGTCCCTCCTCTGCTCACACTCTGTCTCTCAAAAATAAATAAATGTAATAAATAAATAAATAAACATTTTTTTTAAATCTCCAAAAGAAAATGACTTATTTTAACTTGAAGAGATTTCTTAGCTTTTCAGTACTTCTATTAAAGGTACTATTGTTAGAAAACAATCTGTTCACCTTTGTGTTTGGTGTAGTTTATGTTGAAGGAGGAATTAGGAAATACTTGACCTTCAGTTCAAAACAGGGCCAGTTTTAGGGGAAAAAATTTACTTTAAGAACCACATGAGGCAGAAGTGGAGCTAAAATCAGAAGTAGGGCCCTACAAACAGAAGTCATAGCTGTCAACAGTTTGATAGTTTATCATTGGTGCTGGGAGGACTTTAGACAAAACATACGTTATTCTAGGTGTGTAATCTTCGAGTGCTAAAGACAGCCAGTCCTTTTTATGCAAGTTATACATAGTCATGTGCATGAGGTTCCAAAATAGTATGACTAAGACAGTTGTCAAGGCCAGGGGTAACACCTTCAACTCAGATGTGTCTCCTTAGAACCCTTGTGTGGGTCAGCAAAATCTGGAAGTCAGCAGTACTTTAATTAATTAGTATATTATTTAATATTAACTAATATATTAATATAAAGCCCAGGTCAGCAATATGTCAATTAATATGTCAGTTACTTATTCTGTTATATAGTAACACAAAATGTATTTACACATTAATGCAATGAACATATATATCAAATATTTTTGTTATTTTAGGTCTTTCTTGGCCATTGAATATTTGATCATTTATGGCCTTATTTATGCAAGTCAACGAAAGCATTTTGAAGTACTACTTTTTAAAAAATTCAAATGTATTTGTAATAGCTCTGCCATTCTTTAGACAAATAGTATTTTGACTTTTTAGTTTTGTAGAATCATTTCTTCACATAAACTCTTATGTGGAAGCCTAGCATAAGTATGCTCCTAACTGCATTAGCAGTTTACCCATCATAGAGACCTGGCCATTTGTAAAAATATAGCCTGATGTTTCAAATCTTGTTTCTTATATCTAGTCTGGAAATTCTATATTTTGTGGATATATTTTCTATACTCACTGTAATTTGTTAGCAGAATGAAAATGAAATTATATACAAGAGGTTAATAAATATGGTACTGACCTATGATCATAGAGCCTGTACTTGGAGTTGCTATCCAATAGTGGAACTAGATTTCTAAGAACACATCCATCATCTCTAATTTGGTCCCCTTTGTAACCAGTACAGCAGTCTGTGACCTACAGCTACTTGGTCCAGAATATAATGTCTGCTGTCCCTAGAAACGCATTTTTCTTACGAAGGAACTTCCTCTTTGTGCTTCCACTACTGTTCTTTTAACAATTTCTGTTTTTGCTCTATTCAACTACACATTTGCCACCTTTGGACTCAAAAACCTGTTCGTCCAGTTCAGTACATGTCGAGGTTTTTTTTTTTTTTTTTTTCACTCTCACTCATGACTTATAATCATATTACTGTAAGCTGATAAATATTTGGAACTATATGTACTTTTTGTGTGTTTAGATTGTTATAAAAATTAGCACTGTATGGAAAAGGTGGGGATTAGCAGTGGAGTCTTTCAGAATTAGAATTTTCACCTTCATGGTATTTATTGCATGGCTATTTTTAAAGAACAAAATAAGTAAGGTAGCCAATCTGACTGCCAGTAAATTACAATTCAGACTTTTCCACCTTTTTCCAAAATGTACATATAAAAGGACAGAAACAACAGGCTGTAATTTGGTCATTAGTGAATCTTTTCAATAAAAATATACCCAGAGTCTTTATTCTTTTTCTTGTTATTGAAGTATATATAGTCAACATATAGTGTTATATTAGTCTCAGGTGTACAATATAATGATTCTACAGTTCTATACCTTACAACCCAGAGTCTTGTATCAAATAATGTTTATTGAGGCCCTACCATATGCTCATTATGCTAAGTTTTAAGTATACAGTGGCAAATTAAATGAACATGATCCTGGCCTCATGGGATAGATACATTACAAATATACATACATACATAACACAAAAAAATATACAACATAATATAATAATAAAATATAATATTCTGGGGGCGCCTGGGTGGCTTAGTCGGTTAAGCGTCCGACTTTCGCTCAGGTCATGATCTTGCAGTTCGTGGGTTCAATCCCCGCGTCGGGCTCTGTGCTGACTGCCAGCTCAGAGCCTGGAGCCTGTTTCAGTCTGTGTCTCCCTCTCTCTCTGACCCTCCCCTGCTCACGCTGTCTCTCTCTCCTAGAAATAAAAAAAAAAAAAAAAAAGTAGCTAGGTAGAAACAACCACTAAAATACCACTATTTTGGGTATATTTTTATTGGATCTTAATCTTACAGTTTTTTTTAATACATTGCACTTATACAGTCTATTCAGTCTTTATTCTCTTCAGTCTATTCATGCTTTATTCTGCTTTTTAACTTATAGCACATGACAAGACAGGAGCAAAACTATTTATTGAATATTTTTATGTGTCAGGAATAAGATCCTATTGTTTTTAACCTGACTCTACAGTTCATATAGCAGGCCCTGTTCCTGATCTGCTTCACAGAGCCCATCTCTGGCTATACTGTTTGTCCACCTTACAACTGGATAAGCTGTGGGTAGATAGGTACTTCTGACTGCACAATAGTCTTTGTTAAGGGTGCCGGTTGAGCTCGCTCTTCCCTAATTGGAGGCTGGGGCAGAATAGGCATCAGTCTGGGAGTAGGATCAGCGGCGTGCCAGCTATTTCAGTTCCTTACAGATCATCGTGTGTGCGGATAACGGAGGTCTCCTGACTTAAACCATAAGACATTGGTCCTGTGGATGTTTTCTCATCTCCTGACTTGACTCTTCTTCCTTTATGCCTGCCTTCTTTCCACAGTCTTATCCTTTTACCTCCTTTCCTCCCGGATTTTCACAAAAGACTGCTATTTTTTTTTGTCTGGAATGCCATGTCTCCACACAGAAAAAGTGAAGGCCTAGTTCACTTGATTTCTTCTTGTGTCTTAAAATTTCATAGCCTCAGGTGTGCATTTGAGGTCTGTAGCTTTAGTCCTTGCCTGGTTTTTGCTCTCTTTGTAGTTGCAATCAAATTTTAATAGAACTAAATCATACCCCAGTATTTTTTCTTTTTTACAGTTCAGTGGTTTTTAGCATATTCACAAAGTTGTGCAACCATCACCATAATGTTTTTCATCACCCATAAGAAACCACACATCCATTAGCTGTCACTCGGTATTTCCCTTACTCTTCTCCTAGCCCTAATTAACCACTATTTTATTTTCTGTCTCTGTAGTCTTGCATTTCTACTCTTGGTAGAGAGGATGGGTGCAGATGAGGAGAAAGGTGAGCTCTGGTTCAGAAGTGAGCTTTTGCTTCTGATCCCTGCTAATCTGCAATCCCCCAAAATTGAAGTTAAATAAAACTCCTTGCTTCTTTGAAGATGTTCTTCCGAAGATTTCCATCTGATCTCCAAAAGATAATTATACATAATATCTGTAAACATAAATATATTCCTAAATATAATCTTATTTCTTGTGAATGAGTGATCCTAACACACACACACTCACCTGCCCCTAATTTATACTTCAAAGCCTTCTTCTCTGAGCAGACAATGAAGGGCTTCATGCCTCAAACACTGTCCCCTAATTTCTTGATTCCTAGGTTTTCCAAATCAGGCTGCCATGCTTATATCTTACTGATTTTAGATATCTCACAATACTAACTAACAGTAAAAAGTAGGAGTCAGTAGAATGAACCATGGGGACTGACTTGGGGTAAACACCCCTCTCTGCTGTGTATACAATTAGAATTGACTAGGGAGAGACAAAGAGGGGGGCAGGACAGTATAAGAAGGCTCTTTAGCAGTTATCTTTTCCAGCTAGAGGATCTTGGCCTACCTAGCATCTCCACCCCTCCAGAGGGGTCTTTTGTGATGTCTGAGCTCCCCTTAGCCACCATTGGCTGGTGAGTGCCATGCTGATCAAACAGAGCAGAAGGGGTGTGACTCCCCATTGTTCTGGGAGAGATATAGATACAGAGGCCAGATTCCTGGGGTTAGATGACTGAGAGGCTGCAACATGGCAAAAGTGGTGAAGAAATCATGGAAGCCACAAACCACAAGCACCAAGCGATGGAAGAAGAGGAAGACTACCTCTCAACCCAGATCAAGAGGCAATAGCAAGGTCAGATGACCCTACTCCAACTTTTCTTCTTCTCCATTTATGTTCCCCCGGCCCCATCAGCCCAGTCCCCTCCACAGATAATCCTGCCTCCGCCTAGTACAAACCTCCACTTTCCACCCAGTCCCTATTTCCCTTCTGCCGACCCAGTGTCCTCTGGGCTCACCTTGTTGCCTTACCAGGTGCTAAAGATATACAAGAAGA